TTTGGCGATCCTTTTTAATGGATGAGATTTTGATGCTGGTTTTTTTTGGTGATTATGAGTTTCTTGATACTGTTTTTAATGGATGAAGTTTTGATGTTGTTTGATAAGTAACAAGAAGTATTTGTGCATGCATAATTTAAAATTGAATTTTTTTTCCATCTATTAGTTGCAAGATTTGAATGAATGTGGCCTTATGGTGATTAGGTTGATAAAAAGGCATATAGAATCATGTTCAGTATGATTTGATACACCCGGTTTCTAATTAAAGTTTATATATTCATTTTGGTTGTTGAAACAACACTAGCTCTACTTTGGCATCTTGATTTCTAGTACCAGTATTATTTCAAGGCATCTCTTGTAAGTTAATTTGATTTTATTACTAGTATTATTTCAAGGCACCTTGTTGAAGATTCTTGTGTTCTAAACTTTATACCATTTCTGCTTGATGTATTTCATAAATGATATAAGCATTATGCATACCCACAACTGGGTTCTTCAAGGTTCTATTGAACACCAATGGATTTCTTTGTTGGAAAAGGTTCTTGATCTTAATTCCAAGTTAATTTCTATAAAAACCCTTTTGAAATCACATCATTTTCTATGCAAATATGTGGATTTCTTTCTTGGAGAAGGTTCTTGTATCTTAACTCTAACTTTATTTCTATAAAAACCCTCTTGAAATCATCACATTTCCTATGCAAATTTGTGGAATTCTTTCTTGGAAAAGATTCTTGATCTTGTGCAAAGTTGTAGTAAACTTGCTTCAATTTGAGTTACGATGAGTTTATAACTTGGTGTCAAATCATTTGTTTGATTGCGGGATTGAAACCATTCAAGTAAAATTCAGTGATCAACTTGTTTAGGTAGCAATACCAACTATGTATATGTATATTTATGTTATTCTATTATGAAATAGTTCCATAAAGGGGCGGAAAAATGGAAGAACAAACTGTATCCTTTTTATGAGAATCTTTGTACCGTATTTGGAAAAGATCCGACTCAAGGAAATAAAGCAAGAGATTTTGTTGAGGCTGAAGAGAAGGTGCATATAGATGATCAAACACAACACATGTAACATGTATGACGAGTCTGATGACGTGATGACAAGTAGCAATATTCAAGGTGACAATACAAATATGCAATCTGAAGAAACTTCAATGTGCATGGTAAGAAGAGAAAGTAGATCCCATGGCTGACGGATTCAATAATGCGATTACTAAACTTGGAGAAAGTGTGGAGAAAATGATGAACAAACTTAACAACAATATCGAACGACAAGAACTTGATAAGAAACATTTGACGATCACTTTTGATATCTAAAAAATACAGTCATTGGCCCAATCGGAGAAGTTTAAGGTAATTTCGATGATAAGAGACGATCCTGAAAAGGTGAACATGTTTTGGGACTTGCAAGAAGCAGATATGGAAGCGTCCGTGAATTGGATTTTTTTAAGAATTAAAAAATTTGGTGGCCAAATATATGGTTTTGGAAGAACAATTTGGTGGTTAAATATGTTTTTGAATTAACAGGTTTGTTGGTTAAATATGCATTTTGGATTAATAGGTTTGATGGTTAAATATATATTTTGGAACAAAAAATTAGATGATTAAATATGTAGTTTTGAAACAAAGAATTAGATGTTTAAATATATATTTTCGAACTATGAATTAGATGATTAAATATGTAGTTTCGAGACAATTAATTAGATGATTAAATATATAGTTTTGGAAAAATGAAAGAGATTTGGTGATTAAATATACAGTTCTAGAGAAATTGATAATTTATCAATTAAAAAAATCTTTAAAAAACAAACAAATAATTAAAAAAAAATTAAATCTCAATCCAAATCCTACAAACTAAACATGATTTATAAATGAATGAATTTCAAATCCATTCCAAATCATACAAACCAAATACAATAAATGATTCCAAATCTAATTTAATCTAAATCCTTCTAAATTCAAATTTGTACATAAAATTCAAATATCTCAAAAATAATCCTACAAATGAAACGCAATCTTAAATTACTTTCTAGAAAAACATAGAAAAAAATGGTCTAAATATAACCAATTTAAAATTGTAATAAAAAATCATTAATTTGATTTAAAAATAACTAATTGTTGCATAGAGCAACCTTTTTGGTGGAGAAACCTCCATTCTTGATGCATCATTTTCATATTCGCCCACAAGACACCATCATTACATCACCCACAAAACCCGATGCCCCAAGGTCCAACACCCCACCCCCCACCCCCAACGGCCCCACCTATCTTGTTATTTACTTATTATTATTAAATATAAAACTTATCAATAAAAAATAGAAAAAAATATTATTTTTATATCTTTCATATTTTTTCTTTATATCTATACTATATTATAAAGCATTTGACAAAAACTCTTAAAAATCATTTTTTATGCATAAAGTACTGTTTATTAATGCATATTACTTAAAACTCAAGATTGCAAGTAAATTGTGCGGAAGTAAAACTTATTAAAGTTACATATTTGAATTCGTGTAACTAACTGCAGATAAACATAATCAAATACAGGATAAACATCTCATTTTAATTATAAAAAATCTAAAATATAATTAGGATAATCATTGACTTCTAACAAAACTTAATTATTATCTTTATAAAATTTATATTATTAAACCAAAAATAAATTATTTTATTATTAAATTTAAATTATATTATAATATAAAAATTAAAGAAATTACATAAAAATGAGAATTTTTAAATAGTTGATTTGATATTAACATTAATATATATTTTTTAAAATTTATCTTTTATTCAAAAATAAAATTATTGTTGCTTTCTTAAAAACACATAAAATCGTATTATAACATCGACGGTGACAAATAATAAAATCGAAATGTGTTTCGCTGCATTGCACGAGTACTCTTCTAATTATCAGTTATACATAAATTATAATCGGCATTGATTTGAACGCAATACATTTTTTTTATTTTGTATTTTTTTTGAGTTTTAGGATTTAACAACAAATAAATAAATTATTTAGTCTATAAATTCGATTAAATATTGTTATTTTATAACCATGCATTAAAATATACGAAATCATGAAAACATTTAAAGAGGTTAATCAAGAAACACGGTTAAAAAAGTGAAACCAAGTAAAATTTTCGTCGGTGATTACCAACGGATCATTCAAAAATTAACAATAATTCGATAGAATCCGACGTTTTTTGATAAAATACTAATAGATCGTCCAGAGAATTCTTGGGTAATTTGTCATTGATTTGAATTACCCACCAACTTTTATGACGGTTTTGTGACAAATCATCCTTTAGCGGAATTTCCAGGAAAAAATCCGTAGATAAAAATCTTTCATTTAGTAGTGGTATATAGAGGATGCAAGTCTAGCCGATGTGGGATCTAACATGCCCCCTATAAGGAAGCCTAGACAAACATGTATTATCCTATAGTGTCGAGAGTGGGTTGGACGGGGGGAGGGGGTTAAATGAGTACAGACTGTTCCAGAGAGCTGACTTTTTAAATTAAGTGTTAGAACTTACTCTGATACTATATAAGAATATATATGAAACTCTTACTCTTCTAAAAAGCATTTGAAGAATGTATATGAAGAAGAAATAGTTCAAGTCTAATCAGTATAAAAATCGAACAAAATATCTGTAAAACGCCCTTTAATTCGCAAATATAATTTCTTAATTACTCATGACCTCTAAACATTTTAAGAAACTATCATCCATTTAAATAAACCGGCAAGACACGTAAATTTGACAACACGTACCGTTTCATCATTTGAATTCTATCTATTCTTCTTTTAACCCCAACCTATACGACAATGATTGTGCGGAATTTTTATGCTTAAATGTAACATTTTTAACATTTGAAAACATATTTTTGCATGCATGAAAATAGCAAAAGTATATCAGATTATCATTTAACTTACTAGATGGATAAATAAAACGTAAATAAAAAGTTATATATTTGCAACATACCAAGCATCTCGTGATTTACTATTTGGCCATATTATTGTATCTCAAACCTATCTATTAGTTAACTGAACGGATCATGAGATGCCTGTTATCTTTCTATACTTGGTTGTGCAAAACCTATATCTTGTTGAGAAAAATAAAAGAACACACATTGTTTTCAGTGATGACGTTCGAACATTAAGTATCTGTAAAACATTATATTCATGTCTCATAATTCACTTAGTATTTAAAAGATTTCATTATTTTTTTGTTGATTAAAATATGTTTTTATGTTTCATAATTTATTAGGATATACCTAGTTTCATTGCTCCTTACTTGGATCTATTTTTAATGTGGATGTTATTTTATTTATAATATTTAGTCATAAAATGATAGATAATTTTTATTAAACATATAATTTATCAGATTATTCTAATTTTTTTTGTTAAAATCTTTGTAATGATAAAATGATATATAGAGATTTTAAAACAATGATTTTGTTTCATTAATGTTAGGATATCCACGATCTTATTATCACATTTACAAAATCATAGAAATTAAAAAATTGACAATTTTGCTCTTTTTTACTTAAAAATTAAACTTTTCTTTTTATTTTCATTAATGTGGGATCGGGTCATCTTTTATCTCGACTAATCTTATAAAACCCTAAAATTAACAATTAAACAAACCTTCCAATATGGTGAGTCAACTCAAAGTCTTACTTGTTTTTATTAATATGTGTTTCTACCAATTTGTTAGGTAATACCTAAATATTGAATTCAAACTCAAAATATTTTTAAGTTATAATAATATTTTAACCACTTTTAACAAGCAGAGGTATATAGACCCCATGTGCTTATTCTTGCTAACCCCAACAGTAGTGCAGTGTGTGCAGTAGTATATATATTGCTATATAAGCATATCTAAATGCTTATGACTATTAGAGAATCATATGATACAGAATAAAAGCGAATTGAAGGTGGTGAAGCAGAAGCAAATCAAGCAGTTGTACATTACAGTACAAGTTATTGGTTCATGATCATGGACACAATAGATCAATCATCATGTGTCCCTCCTGGATTCCGTTTTCATCCAACTGATGAAGAACTTGTTGCTTATTATCTCAGGAAGAAAGTTGCATCTCAGAAGATCGATCTTGACGTCATTAGAGATATCGATCTTTACAGAATTGAACCATGGGATCTAATAGGTAACTTTAGATACTGCCCGTTTCGAATTCGGGTTCTTTTTCTTTAACATTTTCTTGATCCAGACCTAGACATCCCAAGATCCAATAGTACTATATACTTGGGTATTGTCTGTGAATTCATGAATGGAAAGCGTATCCCACAAGAGGGTGGCAGAAATTTCATCTTTGAGAATATTGGTTTTCTGGATCTGATCCTATTTAGGGTTTGCTTTCTTTTTTCCATTTGGAAACTTCCAATGTTTTCCAATCTCTAATTAACTAACCCTATATGTATGTATCAACTAAGCTAATGGCAAGCTGGTTTCATTGATTCATAGAGTAGTTCATGACTGTTCTTTTTTGATCATAGATTTAGATATATATGGCAGGCCGGTTTCATTGATTCATATATGGTGATGATTTCATTAGTCTTATGTTGATGAGTGTTCTGTAATTATATAATTTTCAGAAAGATGTCGGATCGGATATGAGGAGCAAAATGAGTGGTATTTCTTCAGTCACAAGGATAAGAAGTATCCCACAGGGACAAGAACGAATAGGGCAACCATGGCAGGGTTTTGGAAGGCCACCGGAAGAGATAAGGCGGTATACGAAAAACAAAGGCTCGTAGGAATGAGGAAAACCCTAGTTTTCTACAAAGGAAGGGCACCAAATGGGAAGAAAACAGATTGGATCATGCACGAGTATAGACTCGAATCCGAAGAAAATGGTCCTCCCCAGGCAAGCAATTCGAATCACCGTAAATCTAAAACAGAATCATTCTTAATTCATTTTTTTGGGTGTTTAGTTTTGTTATATATTCATATATGAATGTTAATTACATTCTAAATGAAGATGATGAATTGGATACATTAACTTGATCATATTTCCTACATATTTATTTTAACTTCTCTTTTGATTTACTTTCTTTTTTTGGGGGTTTCCATCATTTTCTTTCATGCATGCTCTTCCACATTGAGTGTTTCTTTACCCATTTCATATATATGTATATGTATATATATGTATATATATATATATATATATATGTATATGAAGATGATTAATTACTTACATATTTAGTTAATTTTCCTTTATAAATAGTGTTTTTTGGGTTTCAATCATCTTTTTTCATGCATGCTCTAACTCCACTATCTTACAGTCTTCGAGTGTGTGTTTATAATTGTCCATTTCTTTTTGGTGTAGATCTTTGAGTGTGTTTCTGTGGTCAAGAAAGCAGTTGACTTTGATGAACATCTCTCAGTCAAAAAAAGAAGTGCATTGAAAAATGAACTCAATTCGCCATTTCCATCTCCTCCAAATTAACAAGTCGTGTCATCACTTGAAATTACCCTAAACAGATTATAAGATCTTGATTTAAGTTCTTGAATTTGATGATACACAATAATGCCAAATCTAAATTCATACATATATTTCGTTTCTAACTTCTGTATTTGATCAAAAATTCAATCCGAATTTATTAATTAATTATACGGTTACAATCGATGTACAGGAAGAAGGATGGGTCGTTTGCCGTGCATTCAAGAAACGCGCAACCGGACATTCAAGAAACAGCGAAAGATGTGAATCGAACTATTTCTACGAGGAATCAAGGCGCATAACATCAGCAACCATCGATGATTACATCACAACTCCGCTTTCGAGTAGTTTTCTTTCGACGCAAAGCTTCATGATGTGCAAGCAAGAGCTGGAAGCAGCTGAGAATTTGAACTTCGTGCAATATGATCATGATCAATCTAAACAACTGCCACATCTGGAAAGCCCATCTCTCCAGTCAATAAAGAGGCCGATTATAAGCTCAATATCCGAACAAGATCAAGAATACATTAACCAAATCGGAGGGAGAAACGCGAGATATAACAACAACGAAATGAACAAAGTGAGGGATTGGAGGGATCTTGATAAGTTTGTAGCTTCTCAACTAAGCCAAGATCCAGAGATTAAATGCATGGGAGAAGGGGTCTCAATGAGCTTCGCAGAGAACCATGATTCGGATTTGAGTTATATGTTTTTGCAATGTGGTAGCGAAGAAGACGATGATGGTGGTGGCGGCGGGGGTGGAGGCAGCGGAGGAGGAGGGGGGAAGTTGACCGGATTCTTGACTTCAACACGATCGGATCACTTTGATATTGAAAGTTACATATATGATAATTTATGAACTTGAAGAAGCATACATAGTTGCATCATACATCATGATCGATCGAGAATCATGATATTATATATATCTATATATATAACCATGTTTAATACATATTACTTGGATAAATGTTTACGATTTCGCATAATCTTGAGACATAATAATGTGTTCGTATATATTTATATAACACTGTACTCGTGAAATGCATCGAGACATATCTCGATTTCAATGTTTCGTTTTATTCTTATATATATCGATATAATACGGTTTTATTTGGTTTTTAGAAAGCGATAATGTTTTATTTTTAAATAAAATATCATAAAGAATTAAAAAAAAAAAAAAACTATATCGTATATATCAAACTAACCATTTAAAAGTTTTTGTTTTGTGTAATTTCTTTCATTCAATTTTTTTATTATAATTTAATTTTACATAACGAAGTAATATAATTTAGGTTTAATAATATAACTTTTTTATAAAAAATAATAATTAAGTATTCTATTAGGAGAGAATGATTATCCTAATTATATTTTATATTTTTTATATTTAAAAAATGAGATGTTTATCTTATATTTGATTGTATTTATCTGCAGTTAGTTACACAAATTCAAACATGGGGCTTCAATAGGTTATTTACGCACAATTTACTTGTAATTTTGAATTATAAGTAATATGCATCAATAAACAGTACTACGTGCATGAAACATAGTTTTTAAGAGTTTTTTTCAAATGTTTTGTAATATAGTATAGATTAGAGTTTTTTTAGGGTAGTAAATGAGAAAATATATGTCTAAAAAATATGATTTTGTTTAATTTAATAGATTCAAGAAAATTGAGTAAAATCAATGGTTTTTTTTGGGATTTTTGAATTTTAAAAATGTCAATATCGAAATTGTCAATTAAAACAAAGATCCGTCCATGAGGCTTTATTATTAAAAGATGTTATTTATTAGGTTCTTAATTGTTTTTATTAAATAAGTGGTTATTATTCGATAAAAGATATTATGTACACTAGCTCTTATTTAATTATTCATAATATTTAGTCAAAACCAGTGTTGTTATCTTTTACTCGGTCAGCATATTAGATAGAACCTGTTATTTCATTTAACACTTATTCAGAAGAATTGGTAAATCAACCCTTAAAATCATATATTATACAGTCGACATTATAGCTTTTTTCCCAACAACAATGTCGTGAACTATCGAAACTCACGGTTGATGGAAGAAGTAATTTATCGATTTTGTTCTTTACTTTGACGAACTAAAACTATAATTGATAATAAAACCATCAGTAGAAAACCTGCCACCAAGTTGACTTGATCGTCACATGCCTTTTTCGTGGAGACATGATACTAGCCAAATACTAATAATTTGCAAGCTCCATATGATGTCATAAAAAAGAGACGTGTTCGGTGTTCATCATATTCAATTGTTGTATCAAGCTTTCAAACACTTGTACATAAAACACTACAATAAAATTGGGTTTATAGTACACTTAAGATGTTAAAACGTCCTATATAGCAAACTTTAGATAACTTAAGTTTATAAAACAAAATTGTAAAATGTTCTATTTAAAAGTGTTACAATAGATTTATATGATGCTTTTAGGTCTACGCTTTAACAAAGTTTTTAAGACGTTTTTTTTTAAATATATAGTGTAGTATTAACCAATTTATATGACATTATTTGAAAAAGTGTCCTATAAACATAAGTGTCTTGTATAAAGATGGATTTATATGACAATTCTTAACAGTTTCTTATAAAAATAGATAATACGACACTTTATTTTAAAAACGTTCTAAAAAACTTGTGAAAACACCTAAAAGTGTCCTACATTAATCTTATTGTTACACTTTTCGATAAGACGCTTACTAATTTGTTCTTATAAACTTAAATACTATAAAGTATATTGTTAGGACGTTCAAACACTTTAGGCATCATATAAACTTGATGTAATTTATTGTAGTGAAAATGAGTAGCGATTTTTTCAATTGAAATTAATTAATAATATGTTTTCTTGGCACTACAGTTCCTTTTTGTTATCATTCCAACAAGATGCTTTAACAACGTTATGTCTATCGTTAGAACGTTTGGCGACAATGATGTGTTATGTCATTATCGAGGGCATGGAGATATCTTTATTATGTCAAAAAAATTCAACGAAATGTAAAGATGCTTTAATTCTAACATAAGGTGACGATTAACTTGTTTTTATCAATTAATTAATGGGACATACATCACATGTGAATAAAACAATTTAAAATATGAATTTAGACACCGATTGGTCGTTTAGGTAATCAAGTATACAAATAGGTCAATGAACATAAAAACGTTGTGTTTAAAATTATTGGTGTTATCGTCTTATTATTATTATTATTATTATTATTATTATTATTATTATTATTATTATTATTAATTTCACATCATAAATAATATATAAATAAATAAAGATTATTAGAGAAAAATGAAAGAAGATGAGCCAATAGGAAACTGAGAAAACGTAGATTGATTGAATATGGTGTTGGTGGGGTTAAGATGACGGGGGCCCACTACTTGTCTCGCATGCCCTGTACAAACCGTGGTTCTTCTCCTGCATGCTTGGTCTCTCTCAACACACAAATATATATATATATATATATATATATATATATATATATATATATATACTAGAAGGCAGAAGCGTACTCGCACAATGCAGCGAGATACATCACGATTTTAATATTTCATTTTATTCCTTATCTCAGTCGATGTTATAATATGGCTTTATGTGATTTTGAAAAAACGATGATGTTTTTATTTTTGAATAAAATATATGTTTGAATATATATCATAAAAATTTGACAAAAATATATCGATATTAGTATCAAATTAACTATTTGAAATTCCTTATTTTTTTGTGTAATTTTTAATTCAATTTTTTTATAATTTAATTTA